GAAAAATAATAAAGGTAAATTCTCAGTATATTAAATTAATATCAACAATTTTTTTGTAATAAATTTTACATTTAATAAATTGCAATAAAACGCTTGAAAATAATATGAATGTAAAAAAAAAAAATCTATCTATAGTGTGAACGGCACCAAGCGAAATATTCAACTTATAATATCTAAAACATTTTAGTCAATATACTTAAAAATGCAAAGTGCATCAAACTATAATATCCGAAATAGATAAATAATAATAAATAATTTTTAGATTAAATACAAACTAAATTAAAAACACATATGTTCTTGATTAAATTACTGTATTAGCAAGTAGAAAATTTATTACATTTGTTTTTTAACCAAATAACGAATGTAACTTTGTCATATTAAATGCACATCTCTACGCATTAAACCTAATTGTACGATCAAATACTTAATATCTTCATAATTCAACGACACCCCAAGCATCTATTACCTTCTCGCGAAACTTTATTAATAAAAAATCACCCCTCTTATAACTACTTTTGGGCAAAGGGATCAAGCTATAAATAAAAGTTTAAGCTATCTTCTACTTCGTCCAATATTCAACTTTTCTGGTATAATATATTAATAAACTTTTAGTGGAATGTATATAATTAAATACAATTAACTTATGAGATCGTATCCAAATAATGCATCTATAAAATATAAATATCATCAAACTTTATAATTACCTTTAATTGCAACCTTACTTTTTGGTCGATTTCTCCAGTCCAAGCATTACGCGAGACTTTGTAATTAAGCTCGTTGGTTTTTTTTTTTTTAATCTATTTTATACCTTTAAACATTGTAAAATGGTAAAATGTTAGCTCTATAATCTTGAACGAATGGCGTTAATGCCTCGGCAGTTCCTATTTTGTATGCATTAATGCGCAAGCCAAAAAATGCAACTCTGGCTACACAATTGAGATCATTCTAAAAATCTCCCGTAAGACACTTCACAAGAAAGTATTTGGTACTCTTCAATTTGCAGTAATGCTAGGATTTTTGAAATGTAATTTAAAATTCTATCTGCTAATTGAAAAATAATAAAGGTCAATTCTCAGTATATTAAATTCATATCAACAATTTTTTTGTAATAAATTTTACATTTAATAAATTGCAATAAAACACCATTACAAAATTATGATGCAATTACTAACCCATGGAATTTAAATTCTTAGAATTTTTTTTTAATATTAAATAGCTTTATTGAAAAATTCCATCTGATTAAAATAAAGGGTACTTACAAATCTTTATTATCGTCGTTCATATTCTTTTAAAAATGATACCTACACTATTATCACTCTAGCATATCCTTTTTAACGAAGAAAATTGTATTAATTTCATATTTAGTAAAGGGATTTTGTATGAACAGCCCGTGTGTAGTATATGTAGTGCGAGAACGACAAGGCGTGGCAAAATCTTTCAATGTCGAAAAAAAAGATGTAGGAAAGGCGTGTCGATTTTTAAGGATTCATTTTTTTCTAAGAATCGATTAAAGGCCAATGACACCCTTTTAATCAGCTATCACCAAATACAATAACCGATTATATCAGTTATTATAGGTTATTAACAATGAAGTTATTATTATTGTAATTTTTTAATTTATCTTTATACTTACTAACAAAAATTATACAACAGGGTGAAACCTAAGTTGCGAAATAGTGAAATCCACTATAATCATCACACAAGGGTGAAATCCACTATAATCTTCACACAAGGGTGAAATCCGCTTTTATATAATAAAAAATATAATAAAACGCGGATTTCACTCTATTTCGCAACTCAGATTTCACCCTATTCTAAAATTATTTTTAATTATAGAATGCTTGTCAGTTTTGATGTCCAAGAAACCCAAGATAAAATTAGGGGCCCGGGCATTATAGTGGAAATAGACGAGTCCAAATTTGGTAAACGAAAATACAATCGCGGTTATCATGTTGAGGGAGTTTGGATTTTTGGTGGTGTAGAAAGGACTCCAGAAAGAAAAATGTTCGCAATGGCTGTTGATGACAGATCCGCTGAGACCCTACTCTTTCTGATTGAAGAAAATATAAACCCAGGGTCTATTATCTATTCGGACCTTTAGCATGCCTATACAAGAATAGGTCCTAATTTAGGGTTTCGGCACCAAACGAAAATCATAGTTTAAATTTTGTTGACCCTATTACCGGCACTCATACAAACACAATTGAAGGAACCTGGAATGGTATTAAAATCCAGGTTAGTAATATAAATTAAAAATTTAATCAATTTAATTATATACTGTACTTCATTAAAACGGATAACAATGGGTTGCAAATAATAATAAAGGTCAAAATTTAATTTGGGTTAGGTAATACAACCCTTCATAATATATCAATTACTCGATTAGGTCATATGACCATATGACGTACGGATCTGCTGATCTCTCGGCAAAATTTCCAGAAACGCCGGAGAAAGCTATACTATATTTGATCCTACTGGATAGATACGGAATTATTTTTGATATAGAATGAATGCTGAATTGTTATACTGGATAGATACGGAATTATTTTTGATACAGAATGAATGCTGAATTGTTATACTGGATAGATACAGAATCATTTTTGATACAGAATGAAT